CACACACACACACACACACACACACACACACACACACACACACACACTTATGTTCATTTGGTTTATTAGGTGTTGCCTTGTCAATTCATGCTTAAGTACCTTGATCATTATACCGAGATTGTACAGTGCAGTTTAGCCCATACCTGTACAAAAAGCAGATTGTCCAGGTCATGGTTTGGTGAGATAAATATCAAGAAATAATGACTTCACTTAAATACAATTTGAATAATATTAATTTACTACAATCCAAATGGTGTAGGAAATATTGTTTAGCTTGGTATTAGCGCTTATTGTATTCATATTAGGTTGTTGCACTTATTGTATTTGTATTAGTTTGTTTCTGCACTGTACTTTTGCTCTGGTCTATGCTCTTAGATGCTTGTTTAAAAAGGAGATGCACTTATGACTTCTGGTGACTATTGAATACCTATGTTGAATAAGTCGCTTTGGATAAAAGCGTCTGCTAAATGACTGTAATGTAATGGTATTAAAAATGTTGAAGCATATGTACATTAGCAGTTTATTGTACTCAGGTAAGTAGGGTAGGCTACTTATTTTGAAGCACTGTGGAGGTGATAAAAGTACAAATCCATAAATGTATAAATACCTCAATATAGTAAGTAAAACTTGAGGAAGTATTAGCAACCAAATGTTCTCAAGTAGCAGCTTTTCAGCTGGTCCAGATGGAGTTAATTATAACTTCAGGTTATAGAGTGTATAGTATATAGACGACTGTTGTGTTAAATTTCATGAACATAACATATGTTTATAATTTAATCTGCAAAGTATGTAGTAACTTGGACCAGGTGGGATAAATTGAATAGAGTAACGTTAAATTAGAACAAATAACGCACCATAATTCCTTACAACGCAGTGGAGTAACGTTATAAGTGTAAAGTAAAGAATCACATGGAAGTAGCAGCAGAAACTCAGTACTTTCATGGTTTGTACTTGCATCTGTGATCTGCCACGCAGGCACATTGAAGTCAACCAACCGCAGTGGATGGGTGGGATCACCAAGAATAGTCTGGTAGCCACGTAGCGAGCTAACAACGTTAGCTGTGCAGGTAAGTGCTCTTGTGCTCGTTGTTTACCTCTTAATCATTACATCATTACATTGTCACTCATACAAACTGTGGTGGCATTTGACATGTTACTGTTACCGAATGTATATTTTTCACACCGAGTGTTACTCTGTTTAAATATGATGTTGTATTAACTTAGCTGGCTAGCTAGCTAGCTAGTTAGCATCAACTGGTTGCTAGATAGTGGTTAGCTGGCAGGTATTAGCGTAAGTATGTTGGCCTCTTACTGATATCGTGGAACGTTAACTAACTAAATGTGCTCACTGTTAGCTGTGGTATAATATGCCATTGATATAATGCATGCAAGTTAACTAGCTGAGCTCGAAATAAGCAGAAATGTAGCTAACCTGACTTTGTTTTTATTTTTAGCGAACGTCACAATGGACTTGCCACATCAAGGGTACCGCGCAAGTGGTAAGTGGAAAATATGAATCACCGCGTTACCAATGGTTATCATTTTTGTGAAATATTTGCAAAATATCCGTCCATGGTTTCTACTTCCTGTTTTCTTACTCGAGCTAGACACACACAGCTCAACAAACAGCTGTCACTGTACGGGTGATGTACAATAACATGATCCCAGTTTATGAGGTGAAGTTACACCTAAAATGATGCAGTCCAATACACCAGCTACTTGGATACATCTTACTTGCAATAGGGTTATAATGACTATGCTCTTTGACTATCATAGGGTGGAGAAAATAGTGTGTGTGTGTGTGTGTGTGTGTGTATATATATATATATATATTTCATTTACTCTGTTGTGTCCATCTATTCACAGCTAAACCGAGAGCTCGTGCAGCTCCCTCCACATCTGATTCTATCCTGTTTGATGACACCAGCTCTGCAGCACCAGCAATGAACAATCCAGTTTACTACACTCCTGGGTACAATATGGCAGGACCCTCAAATGACATGCAAGGAGGTGCTGTGCCGAACAACATGTTTACTGACCCAATGGCCAATGCTGCGTTGATGTACGGCTCCTCATTAGCCAACCAAGGAAAGGATATCGTGAACAAAGAGGTGAGAAAAAACAGGATGTTGAAAGAACGGTTTCCTTCAGAGATGATACATACAACAGAATGAGGTGTTAATCCAGTAAACTATAAATACGATTATCTTTACAACTGCCTCAAAACATGTTTCTTGGGGGATTCAATCTGAAGTGGACAGTTGTAAATACTAAAGATGCACCAATTGCAATTGTCTTGGCCAATTCCGATTTGACCTGCTGATTAAGATTTGCAATTTTCTGTCTTTCTAAGGACTATAATTGACAGCCTACACAAACAGTTTTGTAACTTTTCTTTCAAAATTGAAATTCGATTGTAAAACACTGAGCATTAAGTAACTCCAAACTGTACCAAGTTACAGTATCTTGTTTTCAAAACCTTGTTTTTTAACGATGTTCCTCCACGGCTTATTTTGGACTTTTAGGTGTTACAAAAATGACGCGTGTGTGACTGTACTATACTGTGTATGTTGCACGTGTGTGGCTGTGACGTTAGTCTGTGCTGCTGTGTGCACGATGTAAAACGTGTGTAAATTTGACCGGCAAAAAAATTGGATATATGAGACAGCTCAATGGCCAATCAATCTGTGCATCTCTTGTACATTCCAGTTTAAATATGACCCAGACACACTCGGAACCATTTTTACAAGGTTCTGCTGTAGCTGTATGACGAAGCATACAAAGCAAGACACAGCCTGACTCTTCATATGGAGAGATAAAATGTCTAAACAGGAGTACAGAGTCCTCTCAAATACAGCAATTAACAACTGTGAACAATCTGTTTTCCTCCATGCAGGTGTTTTTTTGTGCCGTTTTAATTTAATTTTTGTCCCTAAAGGTGACTCTACACGTTCATAATTTTAAGTTTCTCAACATAGAGAACCATACAGATGTGTTCTTTTATTGACGTGGCCACTCTACTGTATTGTTAGCTTTCATACACAGTTAGTTCAATGTACATAGACTGGTGTCAAAGTGATGCACAGTCCTTAGGGCAGCCACAGCCTTTTAGTTTTAAAAACTCAACAGTAGTAATTGACTTTTTTGATGGCAGACTTGTCACTCTTCATCTGTCAGGTTAATGTTTGCACTTCCTTTGCCTTTCAGATCAGCAGATACATGTCTGTGAACAAGCTGAAATACTTCTTTGCAGTTGACACCAGATATGTATTGAAGAAGCTTATGATCCTCATGTTCCCTTACACGCATCAGGTAATCAGTGCCATTCACCCATCAGACTTTGTCCTACATCAACGTACGGGGTGACCTAAAACATCAACTGGCACGCATAACAGCTTGATAACTTTCCCTGGTATCATGTTTTCACCCACTTATCAATTTGAAACTATGCAAACAACATAATAAGCCACTTAAACACCACTCCAGCTCTAGTTATGAACGTGAGAATGCTGTGATTGCCAGTGCAGATATAAAAGCACACCGAGCTCCGTTAATTCCCACACGCTTTAACGCACTGAGATTGTAAATTAAGTCACCACTCCAAACATTGTTTGCCCTGATAATGTACGAACAACACAGAGTGCAAACTCTCCTTACAAGGCCAGGGTCACAAAAAGCCAAAAGCCATTCTAAAGAAGATGCTTTAAGTGTAATATTTTATTCTGTATTTACTCCATTCTTACTTCTAATGATCATCTACTACTGCTGTTACCCCGAACTTATTATTGAGCTTTAATCTTATCAAGTTTAAATTGGCTTTCATTCATTTTATTGTTTTATTTAAGACCCTTGAGGTGAAAAAAAGAGCACCAAACATCATGTGCGTGTTTTATTTTGAGTGCAGGGTGATTCGTACTGTACTTGTGTGTTCACGGTAGGATTGGGAAGTTCGTTACCATCGGGACGCTCCACTGACTCCAAGACAGGATGTGAATGCACCCGATCTTTACATACCAAGTAAGTTTTCTATGAAAACTAAATGATCGATAGCAGAGTATTTTTTGATGCCGATATAGTGTTTTAAGTGTACTTTTTGTCTTTTAGCGATGGCTTTCATTACCTACATTCTACTGGCTGGAATGGCCCTCGGCATTCAAAAACGGTGAGTGACTCTTCCTTATCTAATTTACTTTACGACTCAAAGTAAATTTATTTTGTATGAAATGAGTTAAATAAGGAGTGTTTGTTGTGTTTGTGTGAAGGTTCAGTCCAGAGGTTCTTGGACTGTGTGCCAGCACCGCCCTGGGGTGGGTCATCATCGAGGTCCTGGTGATGCTGTTGAGTCTGTACCTGCTGACGGTGCACAGCGACCTCTCCACCTTTGATCTCATCGCCTACAGTGGATACAAATATGTTGGGTAAATGTCAAGTTATACTTAAGATGAGTCTGTTGTGATGATATGAGGGTTAGTTTTAGGACAACGCTTCAACCTGTTGTGTATTATAGCTTAAATTATTAACTGCTAAATCAAAGATGTAAATACATTTATTCAGATTCAGCTCGGTGCTTAAAAAGTACCGTTTGTAAATACGGCATTTCTAAATCTTTTTTCATGCTTCTCTTCTAGGATGATCTTCACGGTGTTGTGTGGCTTAGTGTTCGGCAGTGATGGTTATTATGTGGCACTTGCCTGGTCCTCTTGTGCCCTTATGTTCTTCATTGTAAGTATTTTGAGCTAATTTTGGAAGTTAATTTAGATTTAGTCCTTATTCTTAAGCTAAAAATGGCCCATTTCAGTCATTTTTTATCCTTCATAGTTTTCGTCCAATTTCAGTCGACGACAACTCAAAACGTTTTGGTCCAATTTCAGTCATTACTTTTCAGTAACATGTTTTGTCTCAATTTTGTCAGCTTTTTTTAATTTTTTTAATTTTATTTAGTCTTATGTCAAATGTCTTTTTTTAAGTCATCAGATTACATTTAACATTTCAGTTCATCCAGTTTAGCCACAATGAATCATTTTGTAATTTAGTCCAATTTATTTCAAGATTTTATCTTTTCATTATCTGATGAAAAATACAGGTTCAATGATTAAGAATGCAGCTTTTCTGTTATTGCCATATTTTTTTCTTCAGTGAAGCATATTTTACATTCCTATGTAATTATAATTAATTATATTCTATAAGTAGGTCAGATATTTACATATTTAAAAGCTGTGTTTTTCCATTTCAGTTGTTCTTTCCCAGGGTGTTTTAAATATGAATAGCAAAGAAACAAATATACAAAGTACACACAGAAGAAAGTACAGCTAATACACACAAAACAATATAGATATGCCTCAGGTTTAGGCTTTACAGTGCAACTACCAAGTGTGATAAATACACTGTAGTAATGCATTACTATGTGTTGCATTGTTACACTAAATTACATTTTGTTACTTAAATACCTCAACAATGACCACTGACTCTACATATGCTGCAGTGTTTTACTGAAAAACATACTTTTTGTTGTAGCCTTATTTGCAGTTTACAGATGTTTCTGTGTTTGCAGGTTCGATCTCTGAAAATGAAGATCCTGCCCTCTCTCTCTTCGGACTCCATTGGAACCGGACCAAGTTCCAAACCCCAATTCCGCCTTTATATCACTGTGGCTACTGCCTTGTTTCAGCCAATCGTTATATACTGGTTAACCTCTCATTTGGTCAGGTGACCGTGATGCATTCAATAACTTGAAGTCCAATTTTATTGGAGCCAAAACATTTTGTTGTTGAATGTTTGTACACCTGCCTTTATACGCTGGTTTGTCAGTAAATGTCTCATGTAAAGTAATTCTGACAAATGCTTATTTTTGGCCACCTAACTTTGAAGACAAGGGCTTTCTTTGTGAGATCCTTTTAATCATAACATTGATTCAGTTCAAGTTTCCTTTTATATAACATCCCTGGACCTGCTTTACAGTATTTCACCCCACAGTACACACACCACACAGACATAAAACGCACATTACACACATGATTCGAGTACCATTTTCCGGTATGGGTGTGTTGCTGCTTTATCCCCCTTTCTCTTGTGAGTTTTGGGTCGTATTTATCTACATTTGACAAAGCATGACAATGTTTGGATTTTTTGTAGAAAAAAATAAATATATTTAGCTTTGTGTATTCAATTATAGCCGTTTGTGAGACCTTTATTGTTTTATTTAAACAGAAAAAGTAGTCATTATGCTGCATTATATGATGCTTTTGATACTTAAATATCTATGCTGATTCTCGTTTACATTGTTGGAGGCAAGACTTTTACTTATAACAGTATTTTTACACTGTGGTCACGCTACTTTTACTTTAGTGAAAAGACAGAATAGTGCTTTCACTACCAGCAGTTTTGGTACCATGTCCTTCTTGTTTAACACTTGTGCATCACTTAAAAACGTTGCTCTGTCCACGTTAGAAACTATCCTAGCCAGTCCTGATCATTACTACCAAATAGACAATCTTCTTCAGAATTTTAACCCAAGTTTGTTTACTTCATCCACCGTTGTTAAAATAGAAAATAATTTAATAACCAGATGATGAGTCAAATGATTAGCAAAAACACATAATGCAGCAGCAGTGCCCCTAGTGGAAACCAGGAAAACAACACAATAGCCCCAGAGGGCAAACGTGAGAAAATGGCTCAATCTGGTGGAAATGGCAAAAAACTACAACTTCAACCCAGGGCTTTAGACTGAAAGTCTGATATAATAGGATGCATGATTTTATGCTATGATTGTCATTAAGGGTCTGAGTGTCTTTTGGCTACACCGTTTAATCTTGATTTATTATAGGAGCTGAGGTTGAACTTTCCAAATTTGAAAAGAAACCAGACCTTATGCAGTGTACACTGGCAAAATGATCGAAAAAGTAAAAAATGTCCTTGTTGATGCGTAAGGATATGAGGTATTTTAAATCAAAAACTGCCCCCCCCCCCAAGTCTATTGGTTGGTGTGACACTGTATAATTAGTGCGGGAGCGTGCATGTGCACGCGCACACTGCAAAGCGTCCTTTTCGTTCCCATGGAGACCTCGGACGGCAACAGAACACGGAGGATAGGAGTCAGAGTCCACTTCTGAACTCCAGAACTTCACCTTTAACTCTGCAACGACGTGTTTTCAACATTTAAGGAGCTCCGCGTTCTGCCTGGATCATTGATTTAGTTATTTGGTGAGTAAATAGTTAATGTCAGACATTTTTGAGGCACAAGGTAACAACCACCTGTGAGAGGAAAAGGCGCCTTTCTAGACTAAATGAAACTTTATATTCTTCCGCCATTTGCCTCATGGACTGCTTTGTAGAGCCATGTGGCTTCACATAAAAGAGACTTTCAGGGCTTATGCATTGGATTTTCCTCGATTTCAGCTATACCTTCAGGATGTACGATCAACAAAGACTTTCCAATAGACCTGCACCTGTCCACTGGGTTAGTGTTTAGTAAAACGTGAGATGGTAAGCTAGTCTGAGCGTGTACAAGTGTTCACTTAGTGGACTTTGTTCGTTTAAGGGGATGCTCACCAGAGGGGAACAGAATGCTAACATTTAACTAAAATATTGCATTTTCCATCAGCTCGTTTAGTCAGTAAGTTAGTAAACCTGAAGTTGGGATGGACCTGGAAGTAGATAGCCCAGCCTGCATGTTTGAATTGTTGTTTTTGTTTTAACGTTTTGTTTACTATGCCCTTACAAAGGGGAAAAAACAATGCAAATACAATTTCCCTATTGTTATTTCTGTGCACTCAAAAGACATGTCGTATGCTGAGCAGATTGTAATGTTTGTTGTGATTTTTGGCTAAAGGCTCTATAGATAAAACTGACACGACTTGACTTCCGTCCACAGTGCAAAGTGGCTCTCTGCTACTTTTAGATTGAATTTGATTAGATTCAACTGTATTGTAATTGCACAGATTACAGGTACGAGAAATTCAGTTTAGCATTTAACCAGAAGTACAAAAAAACAAGTAAAGTGCAGAGTAATGTATAGAGTAATATAATAAACAGTAAGGGATGGATATCAATACACTACAGATAGATTCCATATGAACATCTGCAACAGTTAGTCAACTTTTAACCCTGATTTACATGAATAATTCCTCCCAGCAGTAGCTTTGATTGATTTCTGTCATTTCTTCCAGCAGGGTGCTGAATGACCCTGGAAGTTTCCACCTGGGAGCGAGATGGAGAATATCTCTCATACACTGCCACCCTCGTCACCATGTCTTTCCACTTTTGAGGGGTCCCTACCTTTCTCCTCCTCGCCGCAGCAGACCTGCTCAGAGGGCCGTGTTTCACTCCCACTTTCACCTATTTCGTTCCCCCCGTCGCCGACCTCGCTTTCTCCAGCAACAGCAGAGTCAATTCACTCTTCCTCGCCTCTGTCACACTGCACAGCCTCTCACTGCCTCGAAGGACGACTCACACAGTGCCTCAGCCCGGCGAACATATCTGACCAGGATGACCTGACCTGCCTCAACTGGCTGCATCAGAGGGGCAACCTGCTACCTCTGCAGTCCCTTCATAAGATGACACCACTGACTCAGCTAGAGTCCTCTGTGCCTCCCCGTCCCCTTCCTCCTGCCTCGTCCAAGCCACCGTACTCCTTCAGTAGTCTTATTTTCATGGCAATAGAAGACTCGCCTGACAGGAGGCTTCCAGTGAAGGACATCTACGATTGGATTGTGAATAATTTCCCCTTCTACCGGACAGCCTCTGGAGGCTGGAGGAACTCTGTCAGACACAACCTGTCCCTGAGCAAGAGCTTCCGTCGTATTCAAAGGGACAAGAGCCAGGTGGGGACATTACTCACGTTTACCACATTAAGAGCCACGTTATAGTGTGTGCTTAAATTATAGGACAGATGTTCAAACATCCATATCACTGCAATGTCCTTGAGCAACACACTGAATGCAGATGTGCTGCTCTGTAGTCGAGTCAGCAACTAAACTGCCCTGCAGGGGAAATTATAATTAAGTACTCCACATGTGTTGAGGTTGTTGTTTTGTCTACTGTCAGCGTTGCTTAAGAGTTTAAGTTTGCAGTTTGAGTCTTTCAAGTGTTTTTGTATGTTTTTTTTCAGTCAGTGGGTAAGGGATCGCTGTGGTGTGTGTGTTCAGAGTATCGGCCGGCGCTCCTCGAGGTGCTGAGGAAGACCCACAGTTATCACAGCACCAACATCAATCTGTTAAACAAGCCTGCACTGTGAGTATCACCACAGTGCAGTCTGAAGTATGAGCAAAACATATTTTCATTGTGTGTTAATACATCATTTTCTATTCATATATAATTCCATTAATTGTTTGGTATACTGTATTCACTTCATGACTAAAACACTTCATATAGTTTCTGTTGACTGATTCTAGACAAAAAGTCAATACTAAATGTGGCGATACGATAAGTTAATAACAGAAAATCATTTGACAATTCAAGAACAAAATGCCAAACATTTGCTAGCATTAGCTTCTCAATTCATAGTTAAAAAAATTATAATTTAAATGGAATATCTTTGGATTTTGGGCTATTGGTTGGACAAAACACACAATTTGAAGACTTTTCCTTTGGCTATTGCAAATTGCAATGGGCATCTTTCACTGTTTTCTGTTTTTCAAAAGATAAATTGATTGATTGATAAAGATTGAAAGATAATCATTAGTGTCATCGCTCCAAAATATTACTTTCCTCAACATTCCTGTGTTGTTTTTTCTGTTAATACACGGCATTCTATGGGTTTCTTTGGTGGATGAGGAGTTTTTGAATAATATTACATTTTAATGAGGCTCTTACTGAGGTGTATTTTATGTACTTTTCTAACATTTTGTGTGCAGGTTGGAGGGAGCTGAATTTGTGGTGCCTGCAGTGTGCGACTCTATTGAGATGTCAGGTGAGTGACGAGTTGACACACAACACTTAATCAGCACACGAGCGTGTACACATTTGACCCTTTTATGAATTTCTTTTAGTCTGCAATAATTCATCAATGTAGTAACTTCTCTCTGTGACACTTTTATTACCTGCGACTTTTCCCCGTCTCTGCAGCTTTTCGACATTGTTCCTGTGTTTGTGTTCAGTTGTCATGGCAACAACCTTCTATTACCTTGGAAACCCAGCAATAGTCACGCTTAGTCTCCTATATGTCTCCCCGTTTCATTTCCGGGCCTATGGCGCTATATGGGCCCATAGACGACCATGTCAGACTCCTCAGAACGACCTCGTTTAACCAGCCTGCATGAAAACAAGTTATTCATATTAATGTCTTACTTTCTGACACATATTCTGCTTGATTGATTGTTTTTCTTTTTATACAGATCCTCTCTCTCATGCCCTCTTCCTCTCCACACCGTCATCCCAAATCCTGACCAACGATAACCCAACGTTCTCCGACAACCCACCGTGCCCTTTGACCCCAGATCACGAGGAGCTTGTGACCATGGAGTCGGTTGAATACCAGCAGGGGGAGGTCAGTGAGGACATGGAGAAGGACCCCCTGTCAGACAGCGGGTACATCGAGCTACACTACTACCAGTCTCACCAGTACCAGTACCTGGTGCTGCCGGGTGACACAGAGTTGGACCTGGAGACCGTGGAGATCCTTCAGCTCGATGCCGAGGCCCAGGAGGCTGCCGGGTCACTGCTGGACCTGGCAGGCGGTGGATATTAATGTTACATCAACATTTAACAAGCACAACCAAAAGAAAGCTTCAATCCATCGTAAGCACACGCTCCAACAAAGAAACATAAATAGGGATTTATGTTTAAAAGTCTTAAGTGATAATGGATGGGGGGATGCTGATGTAAGTTGGCTGCTTCATCCTGAGACGTTGACGCTGCCCTAAGGCTTGTTTTGTAGTTAGGTAAATAATATAGCTCAAATTTCTAATGGACTATTAATAATATGGGTCATATTACTTAATATATGTTCAGGCACTTTCAATGCAAAAGCTGAATTCACCACCATACAATACCATACAATGACTACATGGACAAAGCAAACTTGTGAGTGTCGTGTTAACTTGAAAAAGGGGAGGGGCAAGTATTAATAGAGAATGATCTTCACTACAATAAGTTTTTAGGTTTTCATCTGTGTTTTTTTACTCGTTAAGTTCTTTCTCAGGGTGGAAGGCGTGCTTCCAACTCAAGCAGAAGTACTGTTTCTTGATAAAGATGTTTTCAAAGTAAAAATAAGTGACCAAACTTTCTTTATAAGAAGGTTTTTTAGAGGTTATTTTATGAGGGGGAAAAAAAATCTTATAAACAAAGTTAATTTGAATATATTGTTTTTAACACTGTTACTGTAACCTGTTCTGAAAATGCTGCCTTTTTAAAAGTAGTTGAGTATAATACCTGATTTAAAAGTACTTTAATTTATAATGCAGTTGCAATTGTAGATTGCGCTCAAAAAGTCGGAAAGCACTTCTCAATTCGTACCTCCAATTTTGTTTCTAATTGATTTCTTTCCACCTGTTGTCATTATTTTAATCATGTATACTGGAGTTGATTTTATGCTACATGATATTATGTTACTGACATTCTGTTAATTTTCTGGTATAACTATATAATCCTGTCTTCAACCAGGCGTAGTTTGATTGGAATTTGGAGTTAAAATGCTAAATGAACTCACTGCCATTTAAATGACTTTACAGTACATTTCTGTTTGTAAATTGCATGTATTTTGTGTTCATGTACTTTAGATCTTTTAATCTAACAAATAGAATCTGTTATGCGGTTCTTGTGAATAAAATTAGCTTGTTTTTAATGTTTGTCTATTTTGAATTGCACTGCCGGTTTTGTTTTGTTTCATGTGAATTAATTCTTAATTTATCCTGTATTGTTATTACTTACACAAAATAAATAATTGAGATGTTGAGATATTGGAACCACAAGACTATTAAGCTACTGCTAAATATCTATAATGGTATAAATGTAGTTCATCAAAAACTGGTTGCAAGGCTACACTGTGTTTTGAATACACGCAAAACACCAAACTTCTATTTTACATTACCTGTCCGGTAGTTCCGTATTCGTTTAATGATTTAGCTTTATACATTAAAAACTACATTTCCCGAAGATTTGCGACAGGGTGGGCACGCTGGGTAGCGTAGTTCGTCAACGGACTGAGGCAGAAGCAGGAAGCCACACTCGAAACTACATTTCCCAGACGACATTGCGCAGGAATATCCCGGAAATGTGCGAGTTTTCGTGGTGGAAAAAAGTTCTCAGTTATTTTCATGCCAGAAGTAACGCTTCAGTCGTTCCTCCACGATTGTGTTTAAGCCGTTTGAAGACATCAAAGGTAACAACACACACACAAAGCAACTAGAAGAGAGTTATTGTCAAGATAGTTTTATATTTAAAAGATCGCTGAGACGTTAGTTTTTAGTTCCCTTTAACGGCAAACAACAGAGACGCGTTAGCTTATGCAGGCTATTGGCTACGACCGTTAACTAGTTGATTAGTCAATACTTATGTGCTTTAGCTTGATAGCTAGGTTAGCTGTTGAGCTTCATTAACGTTAGATATCTGTTTAGCTTAGCAAACTGGTATAAGACCTGAACGTGTAGCTAACACGGCTGTCAACGATCAAGCCACGTTCATTATAGAGACAGTAAACTGTAGAGTTTAGCTTGTCTCGTGTGGTGCTTGCTCATAACAAAGTGCAGACAGATTACAAAACCGGGTTTATTCTCAGAACTGCAGAATTTCTTTTCTACGTTTCAACACAGTCACTGCAGATAAATGCTTGGCATGCTGCTGCTGAGTGCCACACCTTATTTTGAGTATGTGGTGAAAGATAAAGCGAGCTTTGGCTATTATAACTAGAAATAAACTGACAAGCAATGTGCCTCCCTGTCTGAGTCATCGTGGGAGCGACGACGTCCTCACCAGAGAGCAACAACAATGAAGTCCTTAGAGACAGCTCAAACATACACTGTGTTGGAGAGCACTGGCTGGAGGCAAAGCAGCATGACACAAAGACAAATATTGTGTCTGACGAAAAAAATCAGTGCATATCTGATTTTTTTTTACAAGAGGCACTCGTGAAATGGTATTATTAGTAAACACTTTTGGGTGGGATTATCATCCAAATCTCATATTTTATTGACGCTCGAAAGAAAGTCAGTTGCTGGCTCAGAAAAGTGATTTTTAAGGAATTTGCCCTTTAGGCCTACAACTAAGTTTTGTTAATTAATCTAGTGGTTATTTAGTTTTCTTGTGACCAATTTATTTTTAATTTCTGCTTTGGTCACGGACAGACTATAGCTCTATTTTAAAATGTCCATTACAAGTAACAAGAGTCCCAAACATGCCTGAGAGTTGCTTGTGACCAGCCAACACAAGAAAACTAAAAAAAAGTTATAAAAGTGTTTCTAATAACTTAAGATACAGAAAAGTAAGCACCCAACCAGCACATGTTTGGTAAATATTAATAACTAAAACTATTCAGAGATTATATAAATTTGAATCTAATAATTCTCAGTTGACGACTAAAAGTGATGACTTGGTGCTAAATCAATCAATCAACCGGCAACAAATTACTTGGAAAATATGTTTTTTTATGATTAATAAATTGCTGAAATCATTAATCTCTAAAAAAAAAAATGTCAAAGATTTGCCATTCACACTTGTAGTTATTTGCCACTTTTGAATGCTGTCTGTCATTGTAGATTGATATTTGTTTTACCTTCTTCTAGAATAGTTTCTCACTAACACGATGCGTTTGTCTGTGGTGTTCACAGGGACCAGTAACTCTTAAGGATGGGGACTAAACCAGGCCCAGTTCAGATCGTCACAGTGTGTAAGGAGGAACACTCCTTTGCGCTGGACACGGAGGCTCTGGCCCAGGTTCTGTTGGCCCCCGAGGTCAGAGACAAAAATGTGGTGGTCCTGTCAGTGGCTGGAGCCTTCAGAAAGGGCAAGAGCTTCCTGCTTGACTTCATGCTCCGCTACATGTACAGAAAGGTGAGTCGTGCTCTGTAACAGGAGCTTTCAGTGTCTCACCAGACATTATATCTGTCTGCTGTACTCTGAGGCCATATCACCTATCATGTTAACTAGTGAGTACTAATGATACTGACTAGTTCCTCCTCGTGTGTTGACGGTGTGATAACCTGGAAAATCACATATAGTCTTACGTTGATTGCTTAACTAATGCCCATCCCTGCTGTAACATGTGAACTAACTAGTTTACTTAACAGGAATGTTTGAGACCGTAGTCATGAGGAGTGGAGTCTATGTATAGCCAACTGGGTAATCGTGGATAATTATGACCTGAGAGTAAAAGCTGCTATATTCTTTAGAGTTATTGAAACTACATGACAAGGCATGTTACATTTCATATGCAGAGTTTCATGTAGAAACCCCAGCTGGTCTAGAAAGTGTATTTTGTATTATTTCTGCAGGGTGATGAAAACTGGCTCGGTGAAGATGACGAGGAGCTGGCTGGATTTTCTTGGAGAGGCGGTTCTGAACCAGAGACAACAGGCATCCAGCTGTGGAGTGAAGTTTTCCCCATCCAAAAGAGCGATGGAACAGAGGTACTTTAAATATATTTGTTCATCTATGTACCATATGTTTGTCAAGAAACATAGTATTTACAACTTAGATAAAGATTGTTGTAGCTACACTTTCTTTGTTAGCCTGACTTGCCTGTCTGTTGTGCTGGAAAAAAAGTCAATCTACAATAAAAGTGTCAACAATTTTTCTAGTCAAATAATTGTTTAAGATATCAAGAAAAATTTCAAACATTTTCTGGTTGCAACTTCTTAAATGTGATTATTTGCTGATTATTTGCTTTTTACGGTGGCATTATGTTTTCGGGTTGTAACATCTGTACGTCCGGTCCATTCTTGTGAACACGATATCTCAAGAACACCTGGAGGGAACTTCAAATTTGACACAAACATCCACTTACTCTCAAGGATAAACTGATTAGATTTTGATGGTCAAAGATCGCTGTGACCTCACAAAACACATTTTTGGCCATAACTCAAGGATTCATATTCTATTCATGACAATGTTACACAAATGTCCAATAAGATAAAAAATTATGGTATGATGACATTATAGACAGACATCGGTGTAACCTTGAACTTGACTGGTTCGCAATTGCATACAACTGCGAGGCAGTAATTCTAATATTTTCTCATTTATATCGTTGTAAATTATACTTTGTTGCATTTTTGTTTGTTTGAATAGAACAAGCAATCTGAAGATGGAAATTACAATGAGCATTTTATACACTAAACAATAAATAATGCAATAGAAAAAATATAATAATGATAACACCCCTCTCTGGTCTGGTAGTGTTAATTTAAGGCTAAAAATCTTTATGTTCTATTTGGCACAAATCTGCTGACGTCATCCGAGTTTAATCAGGATTAAAATCTATATATATATATATATATATATGACGAATGAAAATTAGAGAGGGTTGAATGGAGAAATATAACAACATCGTACATATAATTTCATCTGTGTGTTTCTCTAATAACTGTAGTTGCACACAGTGTTAATGTCATGTGCTGTGTTTTGTGGCAGGTGGCAGTGGTGTTGATGGACACTCAGGGAGCCTTTGATAACCAGTCCACCGTGAAGGACTGTGCCACCATCTTCGCCCTCAGCACCATGACCAGTTCAATACAGGTGACCGAGCTCTGATTGTCAGTGAGTTCATCGATGTTTTTTATTCGTGTAATGTGTGCTTATTTAGTTTCTCTTTTGTAGATCTACAATCTGTCACAGAACGTACAAGAGGACGATCTGCAGCAGCTACAGGTCTGTTTACTTGAGCATGAGATCAGATTAGTCAGAGTCAACCTGAGTGTGTCAGCAGGTATTTTGGTAAATGGACTTGCATTCGTACGTATATAATTATTTCTAGTCTTCTGACCTCTCAATGCTCATTAATCTACATATCAACATTCCCCATTTACGCACACATTCATACCTTCTTATGATCATCAGCTCTGCTTCTGACAGACGGGTCTTTTTCATAATCTCACTTCTTAACATTAGATGCTCTCCAGATTTGTGCGTCGTCTCACTAATAACTTTGTATGATCATAGCTGTTCACGGAGTACGGTCGTCTTGCCATGGATGAGATCTTTCAGAAGCCCTTCCAGGTAAGAGAAACCACAATATGTGATTCATTCATTGCTGGTGTTTGACATTTATCTGGTTGTTGCTCTTTAATTTAACACCTTTTCATTTTCCTCTTACAGTCCTTAATGTTCCTAATCAGGGACTGGAGCTTTCCCTATGAATATTCCTACGGGTTTAAAGGAGGCAATGAATTCCTGGATAAACGGTTACAGGTACCGATTCTGTCTTATTCATTTGGAAGAATATAATGAAAACACTTGGCTGAACTTGGATACTGAGTTTGGGATTTTGCCTTCCTGTTGATGTCTAAAGGTGAATGAGACCCAGCACGAGGAGCTGCAAACAGTGAGGGATCACATCCATTCATGCTTCAGCAGCATTTCCTGCTTCTTGTTACCTCACCCTGGGTTGAAGGTTGCCACCAGCCCTGAATTTAAGGGACAGCTTAATGGTAAGAGCCCTGTTTCCACACTAGTCTAATGTGTTTAAGGTTAGCAGAACACTCAATGTGCTGTCTTAACTTTTGTTATATATTTATTACCTCAGCTGTTGCCCCGGAGTTCAAAGAGGAGCTGAAGAAACTGATCCCTAAACTGCTGCATCCCGATCGTCTGTGTGAGAAGGAAATAAATGGAAACAAAGTCACTTGCAGGGGCCTGCTCGAGTTCTTCAAGGTAACATCTTCTCCATCTGAGTTTTCCTGCGGAACCAGATTTTTTAAAGTCTAAAATTGTAATTTTTGTCCTACCAGGCTTACATCAAGATCTACCAGGGAGAAGATTTGCCACAGCCAAAGACTATGCTCATGGTATGTACAGGATTAACGTATATACGTTTTAACAGCAACATTTTGTTTAGTTTTTTACTACAATACCATTAACATGTGCCACTTTTGTTTCGCCAGGCTACAGCAGAGGCCAATAATCTGGCAGCTGTGGCTACAGCCAAAGATCAGTACAGCAAGAACATGGAGAGGGTGTGTTTCACCTAAACGATGCATCAACTGCACTTCTTCACTGGTGTTTTCATATAATCCTGACTACAAACGTTCCTTCTTTCCGCTCTCAGGTGTGCGGGGGAGACTTGCCCTATGTGGCTCCGGACTCTCTGGAGGAAAAGCATCACTTTTACTTCCGAGAGGCTCTTCATAACTTCTCCAAGACCAAGAAGATGGGCGGACAAGAGTTCTGCGACCGTTACCAAGCAGAGCTGGAACAAGAGCTGGCGGAAATGTGGCAGTCACTCGGCAAGCACAATGCGGTAAGAGACTACTCCGTAAACATGAGAACCTTTATTTGACATTGAAATAAATATCTTATAGATTTATCAATCAAAACACAACAGTTTGACCACTTCAACTGATTTATTTTTGGTGTATTATTATTGGATTGATTGCCGTTTAAGGCAGTGATATTATTTCTTAATCATCTGTTTCTTCTCTTTGCTGTAAAAGGCAAAAAACCTCTTCAGCGCCTTCCGGACACCTGCAGTGCTGTTTGTCCTGGTGTGCCTTCTCTACGTGCTGTCGGGTGTGTTGTTCTTCGTTGGCCTGTCTACCTTCGCCTTGGTGTGTGACTGTACTCTGGGTGTGGTCATGATGTCCATGCTGACGTGGGCCTTCATCCGCTACTCTGGTCGGTACCGGACTGTAGGAGGAGCCATTGACCAGGCCGCAGGTGTCGTCCTGGACCAGGTGAGAGTAATGGGGCTGGTGTCCGTCTATAAGTCTTTCAGAGATTTCACTTATATCATTATAGACTTTTTTTTTGGCACTGCATGTACCCATAAACGTCACTAGAGGGAGCAATTGATTTTGGGAAGTACAAAAAGGGTATGCAGCAATCTAAGGGTAAGAGACATTTGTAATAATCTAGATATTGACTCGCCTGTCAAAATACTGGTAAGAAAAACAACAATTTAATAGATAAAGAACAGTTCCATTTTAGTTTATAGAGTCATGTACTGTATGACAAAAGCTGGATATGAGCACAGTAAGTTTAGATTTAAATTATGCTTACCGCCTTCAACGAATGGTTTGTAACATGTAAAAACTCCAAGAACACAAAGGAAGGAGAGAGTTTTCAGATACTGCTTTTTTGGTGCTGAAAGGTTGTATACTGTGGGTTTACCAGAGCGTGTTTACTTGATACCGGGTTCAGAAGAGTGGTGAGACTGAACCGTACAGTACACAGTAAATGTGTATAAACAACAATGAGCTAATAGAGGCACAAGAACTGTACTGTATCTACAGGGTTGGATGATAATTATTTGTGGGTTATTAAACACAGTTTAATAGAAGCATTGCAGGAGTTGTATGGTTGGATTTTAGCTGGTAAACCTGTGAAATCAGAACATGGTTGAAGTCTGATTTGTTTATTTAACCGTCGTCCTCTTGATTGAACAAGGCATGTGGGGGAGGCCTGCGCACCACATCGAGCTGCTGGTTTTGTTAAGCCACGCCCACTTTGAAAAATTAAATCCCATGTTATTGTTTGATTTAAACCCCACCCACATATTCTGTTGCACATTGAAATACGTTTCTCTGTGACTTTAACTATTGCAACCGTTTTCATTTAGTTGTAAAGCCGGATCCAACATCAACGGATTTCAAATAGAAAATTAAACTAACAATGTTGACAGAGACCGTCGAGAGTTAATTCTCAAGTTCATGCCTTTTTACTAACACGAAACAAGAAGTGTTTTTTTTTTTGTCGGAGTCGCTCTTCCTGACAGATGAGGCGTCAGTGAATTAACCACAACACCAAAAAAACGGAAGTCAACGTCCGTTGCGAGAAGCACTTGACGCAGTCAGCCGTCACATTAATGGTCCCTTTTTGTTTCTCCTCTGTTTCCAGGCCACCGTGGTGTTGAACAAGTCGAGAGGTACGGCCACCGGTGACCAGAAGAAATCCAGATAAAGGACCTCTGGACCTTCGTAATCTCGACGCAATGCTACCAGCACACCACACAAGCACACATTCAGCACTAAAGCCTTATTATGCCTCCCATTGGAACAAACATGCAGCTCAACCAGATTGCCACAAGGAACAAAACATGATGCCAATCCACCAGCATCTTTATTATGCACGTTACTCTGCCTGTCTACGTCCAGGCTTATGTAAAGGTGACTGGAGTCACTGAGGCAGGGAGTTAAATCATTCCAATCCCTCTTATTGATACTACAGGTCTTAAATTGACACTGCCATCATTTTACAAGTTTACAATTGGTCTTAATGGACATGTCGATGTTTACCGTTAAACTTATAAAACACATTCTTGGGGAAGTCAGGGTGATTATCAAAGAAAGCTTCTGCGGTATATCTTGTTACCTTAAAAAAAAATGCTGCCTTTAAAGCTTATACATTTATACATATCACTTTGTGGCTATATTTTTTTACTTTGCGGCCTTAAAACATTCCATTCTGTTTGTGGATTTGCTTTATATTTGATATAAACTAGCATTTCTACTTTGAAAGGAGAAGAAGAGACACACTTTCTATATAGCACAGTAGATTTTGGAAGTTGCATATAATGGGAGTTCAGTTAAATCTCATTTGTTTCAATTGCTTTGCTGGTTATTCCTTAATGGAACATGTTACACTTTATAGATTTTGATACTATATTCTAGACTCTTCTGGCAGAATTATATATATATATAGGAACTTGTATTCTGGACATTTTCCCTCTCCAAAGATAAGACATTATTGGAATACTCAAAGGTGTTGAACGCACAATATAATAAAACTAGCGACCAGTCAGCCAAAGAGTTTGCTTTTAATATTTGATTTAAACTTTAACCGTGTACTCAGTGGCTACAATGAACTCAGTGAAAAAACACTTTTCCAATCAAACATAGCAAGTGTTGAAGAAACATGGAACAAATAACAAGCAGGATTTTTTTATACAGTATAAGAATAAGAAGTAATAATCAGTAGAAACATATAGAAAATGTGACAATTTGTCAGTTGACTGCCGCACGTTGTCAAAAATCCTTAAGATGTTCTCAGAATGAACACAGCATTGGATTAAAGGATCCTGGTTATTTGAAACTATGCCCTACATGTCTGAACATGAGAGGTGGATTCTTTCAGAAACATTCAATTGGAGACGTGGAATGCAAGCATCTAGTCTTGTATAATAGGTCTTTCAAATGCCACAAGATTGTAAAACCTGAGAGCAAAAGTAGGATAATATAGTCCGTAATGATTCTGCATTGTGTACTTCAACAACTAACCATATATTTCCTGTGTTCAAATACAGAATGGACACACAAAACGGTAATAAACTGCATTAATCTCACAGTCATTCCATGAAACTGTAGATATGAATCATAAGAATACAAGGTCAAAAAAAGAGATGTGCAAATATGGATGATGGGAGACTTTCTCAAGCCATGATTTCTGACCATCATTTTGCACATTCCATGTCTGTCCCTCTGCACAAGAGGAGGAAACAAGCACTTTCTTTTGCACTCCCCCTCCTCTTTGGTGCTATTTGCACACTGCTCGTTCCAAAGGTAAATGCATGCAATATTGTAGTAAAAGCTAATGTAGTAATCTCTTGCAGGAGTATTGTGGCCTTGACTTGAGAAATGCTGTTTTCTAAAGAATAAACAAAGCTTGAAACTGTTAATGCGCCTTTTCAATCCATTCTTTTGTTTAAAAAGTGGCATCAGAGAAACTCCGCCATAAAGGTTTTACAAAAAACAAAAAGAGGATGTAGGATATTTTGAAATCTCTTACCACACTCTCCCAGCAGCAGGATCACCATTACAAACACTTGCTGTGTGGCAAAGCAGTGATCATTTTATTCACTTATGTCAAATTTATGTTCACTTTTCCCTTCATGTATTTGAATCGGCACATGTTCTGTTTCAGATTGCATTTGAATATTTGGCTCAGATTAGATTACATTAGATTAAACTTCATTGTGATTACATAGAGCAAGTACAAGTTTAGCATCTAACCAGATAGTGTAAATGTTACCGGCACCAGACCTAGAGGAAGTCTGGACCGGCAGCAAAAGTTACACAGGCTAGGAAGCAACGTGTAGCCAATAGATACAACTGGATCGATAGAGAGAGGACCAACGTTGGCATCATACTCAGGCCAGAGATAGTTTTATTCTCACACACAATTGCAGATCAAAACATTTAGCAATTTACATAAACAGGGTGTGACCAAATCCAAATGATTTCAAATATATTCCACATTAACACAGATTCCGAAATACTATAACTCAGAATATACACGGCCTTTACTCTTACAGTGGCTCACATATTAACACATACAGTCCTGCTAACATTTATTTAACAGTAGCATAATAGACACAAAATCTAGAACATTCTTACGTGTCGTCTGCTTTCACACACTTGTTCTAACGTGGTGCAAACACTTGTTCGAACATGACGGGCATTCTTGAACTAGCTTGACCATAGTATTTTTCTCCAAACCATTCACTTACTGCTGGCTGGCTAATAGTCTCATTTAAAACACATTGTCTTATGCTACAGAAGGCTTATGTCATAGATAGATAGAACAGTTCAATTATTAACAAAAAATAGGGGCGGGGGGGGGGGTCTGTTTTATAAAAAACTAAACATGTAGCATTACCAACCTACTACATAAACAGTAGCAAAGTGCATAAAAATATGAATGATTGTACAAAATGAAAAATAAACCAATATGTATTGTATGTAATATATTTATGAATTATACAATATACAACATACAATGTAATATATAAACTACAGTTTGAGTAAATTTAGTGATGTACAGTACTTTAATAAAGGCAATAAACCTACTGCTGTAGCTGCAGCACATACTGTATATATCTTAGCACATTCATATAAAGGCTACTAATTGCTGTTTATTCTAAATATACTTTTTATTCTATATTATACTCTGCACTTTACTGCTTCTGGTTAGATGTGAAACTGCATTTCTTTGTCTCAGTACTTGTACCCTGTAATGATAATTATGTTGAATCTAATATGTATTAGCACTTATATATTATATGTACAGTAGGATTTGTGAGACTATTGTATCTGAACAAAATAAGATAGAACATGTTATATTCCTTCAGCTATGGTGGGAAAATGATTTAATGAATGTAGAAGCTACTGACACTATTGACAACATATGAGTGTGTGTTTCTTTTATTGAGCTAGTGATGCTTGTTTGGCAACGTAATGAATGTAGGTCATATTTTACAGGCTTTGTGTTTACAACCACAGCACCGTTAAGCCATAACATACATGCCGCACAACAAAACAACAGCCCAGCCTCAGTATGAACTGACCTCCGCTGTGGTATTATAGCGTTTATATCACTGTATTCTCCGGAGAAATGTGTGTATTCAGTGCCACTACTGCGCCTCATCTTCCGCTTCTTGTCATCCTTCACACTGACTCTCTGTGTGTCTTTCTCTGTACAGAAAATCTGCTACAGCGAATTTTGTGTCCCTTGTTTCCTTATATGGTGATCGGCGTCGTGGCCCGACCCTCCTCGTGCTGTGAGCGAGGCGCGTGCACTGATCGCTGCCGCTCCACCGTTCACTTCCATATTTGGAAGTGAGTCTAACAAAAACCCGCACGGAGGGGAGGGGAGAAAGGACGAGAGAGAGAGAGAGAGAGAGAGAGAAGAGAGAGAAGGGGTGGGTGGCGGAGAAATTCCTCCCACCCAGAAAACTGCTTTGCGCCTGGATGGCTGCTGAATTTCCGTTAAAACAGCAGCAGCACAATAGTTTTACTTATTCATCTCTCCTCGCGCCATTGGAGAATTAATGAGTAGCACGTATTCACCTCCTTGAACACTGCAAATGTATTGTTACGGTCACAATGATGGTTTCATATACGTAGGTTGTCTTTAATAAATTAGAAAAAGGTTACAATGAAATTAAATAAAAATGTTAGGGCTATAGTTACGTTAAAAGCTTGAAGGATGTGTGTCCGACCAAGATTGTTGTATTTTTTATGTATTTATTGAGCACCATAATATGATTTCATAATGTACATTAGATATTATCAGGGAGTTGTGGGTGTGTTCATATACCACACAAACAGATTCGCACAACGCTCTTCGCCACCTATTTGGTATGTTTGATTTGTTCATCAGTGCTGGCCGCGACGCTAAAGGAGATACAAAGTATTAATATAATTGCAGGGAAAATAAAAAAATAAAATGCGGAAAAAATACTAGTGGTAAGAGGTATAATATTGCTTCCCTCAAATGGTTGCCAATTAGTGTCATGTTTGATAACATCAGTCAATATGTTAAAATGTCACTGGGAAGATTATTGTTTTGTATTCACTATTTAATTTGTGTGTATAATATATTGAGCTGAAGCTTATTAATATTTATATTATATCTGCGGCCCTCTTTGTGTTATCACACGTGACAGAATACTTAAATCAATAGCATATCCAAAAACAAATACAGTCACCGGACAATTATAGGTATAGCAGACAAGCGCCCCGCTCGTGCACCTGGCCGGAGTCGTCAGGGGCGCGCGCTTATAGCCGCGTTCACATTGTGTATCCAGTGTGTGAGCGAGACCGACCATTCATCATCACAGTTGATTCAAATCCTACCCAGACGCTGACTAATCCAGAGCTACAGCCATGGTACGTCTAACATCGTCTTTATCACGGTTTTTTTCCTCCTGCTGACTAATGTCGACTTCATCTTAAGATCTGGGGAGATTTTGCCGGTCGATTTGTGTTTTATTTCATAGGTTATGGTGTTGCTTTTAACGTTAAACGTAGCTAACGTTAGCCGCTTCCGTATCGCACGAGCCGCTGCTCGCGCTGTGGCTAACGGCAGCGAACAGCACTGCTGTACTAACCGATAGGCTAACAAAGCGTTCATACAGCGCGACCATCCGCGTTTTATATTGAATTAATCACACGCCAATGACTTTTCCGTGCGGTATTAACGTGTTTTACGAGGTTGTGATAATGGACCCGAATAAACGGCTGTGGTACTAAAACAACTGGCGCCATTTCGTTCATCTTGAGCTTCGCTGAAAAAAAAAAAAACCCACACGGTTCTTATCGTGTTACCATGCACACCGTTGTCATGACGTTACTGGTTACTTTTACCGCATCGTGTTTGTGCCGTTTCACCTCTTGCTCGTTGACGCTTCTGCCGAAGCGCTGGCAGGTGCGCAGCGCTAACAGCAGGCTAACATGCTAACGTTATTGTTAGCTGAAGCCAAGCTACGTTAGCAAGAGGCAGGAAATGACACCCGTAGTGGCTAAAGCTAGCTGTGATTTCCTTGTTCTTTGTCTTAACGGTATCTTTAGACGCTGGTTGTCTACGTTCTCCACATCAAGCCACCATTTGACCACTGTGACGTTATCTTATGTATCGACCATTTTATAGGTTTATGGCCGAGTTGCGCTGTCACACTAAAAGTGTTAATCGACAACGGAACCGTCCTTTTTGCCTTTATATAGCACGTTAGCGCACAGACGTGCACGTGTGCTGCATTCATGGCCCCACCCTGAATTTGGTGCATAGACAATTTTTTTTTTTTGTTTTTGTTGTATAACTGCTCTGGAATGAGCTCTATTTTCCTGGCATTTACCCATGTAAACATTTTACCATGTATTAAGTTGGGATGTAGCAAATATTTTACGTTATTGTCAACATTATATAAGACCAGTTTGGGGCCGCGGTCTCTGGGTTTTCATAGTCGGTAATGCGCATCTTCTTTTTAGTTGCGCATCTTATTTGTACAGCACGTCACGCGATTAAACTCCTATATAATTCAAACGGATTAATATCATTCATAAAGTTATTTTTGTGCATTACTGCAATGCGAAAATTAAAAAAAAAAAAATCTCTTACACATATATGCGCCGTTGACATCCTGATAATCGCCTAAATCTGCCACTGCACACTACCGTTGCAGTGTTTTAATTTCAGAGTTTGGATATAAACCCATCAGGCCTGTTTGCTAGTGAAAGTGGCTCCTATGAGGCCTGTATCTTAACTGTTACTTTATGTAAAGGAATTCAAGACTTTTATTGTGGCTACACTTATATTGAATCACTTGAACCTTGACATCTGTTAAGAAAAGTACCCCTGATTAAGATTAGATAAGGCTAGAGTTATAGTTAGCTTGTTGCTACAACTAAAAATATACAGAATATGAATCTTATCGGCTTTACCGATGGTGTTTGTGTACAGAAGAATTAGACATCATCATGATGTCTGAGCATCACTGGCTGTCATGTGCTGGGTCGTAGACATTTGTAAACCTCAGCAAATATTTTGGAGACGGACTTGGATATTTTTTTGCAGTCATAGCAAGGTATTCTTATTTTATTGCTGCACAATGATTAAGGAAGCGAGTAAGGTTGTTTGCTGGTTAATTATTAGTCTATAAGTCACAGCTATCTCATACAGGTCTTTTACGCCCTGAGCAAACATACAGAGCCTGCCTGTGCTACTTTACAGTTGGGTTCCTTTTCCGTCTTTCCTGCCCCATTATATTTCCCTTTCTTTGTTGTCTCTCTTTCCATTGACACATTGCTGGTAGACAGCAGTTTTCATCTCCTGAGACTGCATTTTCCTGTTTCCTTAAGTGCCTTAAGCAGAAGTCAGAAGACCAAATCGAGTTACGGAGAGGCGGTGACTCAGCAATGTGACTTTTAGCTACAGGCAGTTTCTTCAAAAGCCCCATTGTTTGAGACTGAACTCTGTGCTTTAATGCTTAATCACTGACCACTCCCTCACCCACACAGTCATCTTCATGGTAGAGATGCATGGCTTTTTTTTACTACTTTCTACACCTAATGGTCACAGTCACACCTGTTAGCTTCACACCTGTTAGCATTCATGTTGAAGATGGACTTTTGACAGGCAGTGCTGGAGAATATCTATTTGTTTCACTCTTGCAGTGTGAAACTGTTTTATTAAAATAAAAGGCTGATTTCAGTCGTACCAACTTTGCTGACTTTCAGAATGCACTACAAAAGGCTCTTAATATTTTTTTTATTTTTTATTTTTTGATTTATTATACTATATTGATCCCTTCAAGGGGGAAATTTGTCTCTGCATTTGACCCATCCCTGTATATAGGGAGCAGTGGGGAGCCTGGGGTTCAGTGTATTGCTCAGGTACACTTCGACACATGACACGTCCCAATCACGTCCCACGAACCGTTGACCTTACGGTTTCCAAACAACCCTCTTAACCCAGTGAGCCACAGTCGCCCCTTAGTCAACCATGACCAACGGCTTGTCACAGCCACACCTTTGCATTCCAATCCTCTTAATCAGTCGTCCTCGTAAGGAGCATTCCTGCTCTGCGTGCCGCCCTCTCTGGCCTTTTTTTATGATGTCAGTACTATTTATTGTACTGAAGTTGTCACTTCTGGCCACAACGCCGTCTGTTGCCTGATTCAGGCAAAACTCACACGGTGGAGGAGGGCTGAAACTAACAATTAGTCTGTCAATCATTTTTTAGATTTATTGTTTGGTCAATGTATCACTCAAACCTACGTTGAGATATTCAAACTGTTTGGTTTGTCCGACCAGCGGTTCAACAGCTAAATATGCATTTACATATCGTATCACAGGACAAAGGAAACCGGCGTACATTATACACATTTAAAAGTTGGAACCAGTGTTTTATTATTTAAAAATGTATTTAGGGATCAATGGATAATTGATGTGGAACTTAGAAGTGTTGGTGTCCATTTACATTTAAAACATTTTATATTTGCATAATGATATTCCCCCAAATCAATTCAAAGTGATTAAGCAGCCATTCAAGGTCCTAGCAATGGATTTACATTTCATATAAAACCTGCATTCATATCTAAATTACCTTTTTGTTGTGGCATCATTATCACCTTAAAAAAAAAGGTCTGTTGCAGAAATATCAGCCTCCATGTTAAACTGTGAACACTTTAAACTCTTGAGTTAAAGGATTGTTCTGTCCACAGGCCTCGGGGGTGAAAGTCACAGATGAAGTTATCGCAGTCTTCAACGACATGAAGGTGCGTAAGGCTCAGCCGACTGAGGAAGAGAAGAAGAAGAGAAAGAAGGCCATTCTGTTCTGCTTGAGTGCCGACCTCAAGAATATTGTTCTGGACGAGGGCAAAGAGATCCTTCTGGGTGACTTGGTAAACATCTCGGACCCATTCGGGCACTTTGTTGGGATGCTGCCCCCAAAAGACTGTCGCTACGCTCTGTATGACGCCAACTTTGAGACCAAAGAAACAAAGAAGGAGGACTTGGTCTTTATCTTCTGGTGAGGGCTGCCACTATCGGACATTACCGGGTTTAGAACGATCAATATAAACAGTTGGCTTTAATAATGTTTCTGCCTCACTCGTAGGGCTCCAGAGGACGCTCCCCTGAAGAGCAAGATGATCTATGCCAGCTCAAAAGATGCCATCAAGAGAAAATTCCAAGGTAAGTGGTCGTGTGTGTATATGGTTAGACCATTGAGAGCAAGCTGTCATTTACAATGATGTTGATAATATCGAGCACATTTGATACAAGAAAAGTCATTCAGCAGACTGCAGACTGAAACGTCCAATGCATTGAGTTTTAAAGCACACAGAAGCTAAAAGCAGATTTCCAAAGTTCTGTGCTGACTCTGGCTTACACTAAAAGCACCCAATCATTGGAGCGAGTCTTATAAGGTCAGAAAATGTGCTATACTATGACACTCTAGCCTATAATCCATCTATATTACCAGGATATAAGTATTTCTTTGTCTGAACACTTGTACAACATTGTAATTCTGACGTGTTTTAACATGTATTTTTTTTTTTTTTTTTTTTAAATTTTCAGGTATTAAGCACGAGTGGCAGGTGAATGGTTTGGAAGACCTTAAAGACCAGAAGACTCTGGCAGAAAAGCTTGGTGGCTCATCAGTAATCACCCTGGAAGGAAAACCTGTATAAATCCCTCTCCCCTTTCTCCTCTCTGGCTACGATCGAGGCCTTTCAGGCACATCTGTTGGGTTTTGCTGTTCATTCCGGTGTGGTTTGGAGACGGGCAGAACCTAAACCATTTACGTGACTCTCAGGGTGGGATATTGTGGGTGGGTTTGGGGTCAAATGACAGTTAAAAAATAAAATAACGAAAAAAGAAATTCCACTTCACGCAACATAAAGAATATCAACAAAACACACAAAGGAAAATATTAAGATACAGCTGAAAGATGAGGATGATGATAGAACTTAAATACACACACTGTTCATGTTTGAAGACGGGGTTTTGTTCTTTTCCAGGTTCCATTTGAATGATTGCAGAGAAAGGGACAGACGATAACCGGTTTAGTTTTCCAACTGTTAAATCCCGACTTATAATCGTTCCAACTACATTTTTTTTTTGCCAAACTTCTAGTTAAGTTTTGTAAGTGTGTGTAGTTGAGACTAGTTATAGTATGAACTAATTCATAAGATCTATTAAATCCTTCTCTGGGGGGAACATGGTTAAATATATATTTCGTTCTTTTTGTTTTGTTTTTGTATTTGTTTCTTTTTCTTCGAACAGGCAAAATTTGAGTGATTTCCTTTTTAATTTCCAGTTCTCGGTCAGATAACCATGGCATTTGAATAAGTTAACAGACAACATTCCTTGTACTTGTTAAAACCAGGATCTCCTTGAATTAAAATCTCTGGTGTTATAAGGGTCTGATGGGAGCGATGTGTATATGAAGGAGCAGCGGTCAGAGTTTAGACTGAATATTGAATGGTGGCTGTTTTGTATCGTCTCCTTATCTCTAATAAAAAGCACTAAACTACTGACTTGTACGGCTCTTTGTCCACTTTATATTACTGTTTCTAACTCGTGGTGTTTTAGTAATCAGTTTCTTATCTATAACAGCATCATGGTTGTGGTGGATGGCACCCATTAAAAAGTAATTCTAAGGATGGTCCTCAGATCGTACTGCACAATGATTATGTGATAAATAATCTGCTCATCCAATTAAAGTAAGGCTGCAACTAACTACAACATTCATGTCAACTGATTGCTTTGTCAATGAAATGTCAAAGATTGTATTTAATACCCAATTGAACTACTCCAACAATTTACAGATATTCAGTTTACTATCACAGAGAACTGCATATATTTGCATCTGAGAACTTGGGACCAGTGGGTTTTTGTAGTTTTTCCTCGTGGAAAAAAATGGATTAGTTGCAGATTAATTTTGTCAGTTTTATCAATTAAATCGACTTTAGATTTAATTTAAACCGAACGAGTGCGTCCATTTAGTTCCATTGCAGTACTTGTTCTGACCACAGGAGGGGGCCACAACATCACTCTTGAAAGTTCAAAGTAAACCACAGACACGAACACTTATAAATCTCTTTAATAAAATATATCAAGCATTTCTCAAAAAAATTAAATTAACACCGTCTCTCCAGTCCACATTGAGAAGAGCATAATGTCTGCTGAAATGTCAAGAAGCATCAGTGGTGTCCAAGAACATGTTTTAATCTATGTATTATGTAGGTGTGTATGCAGATCAAGTGGACAAACCAAATGATCCTTGAAGAGGCATACACCTACTAAACCATTTTCCACAAAATCAGAGAAAAGAGCAGGAAAGATGTGAAGACAACACGTCGGACTGCTGTCGTCCACAGAAGGAAAATAATCTGGTGCTACTGCTCACTGCACACGAGGACATGTGTTTTTTCCCTCTCGTAAAAAAGTGGTTTATGTTAATAGGCTGCTGTGGGCAAATACATATGAAAAGATGCCGTGGTGATGATCTAATAGACCCAGATGTTACAGGGGGAGATTGAAGGAGAGAAAACCCTCAGTGAAGGGGATCCTAAAGGTATTTATCTGCTCTACTGATGTATCACAGAAGGGTGTTATTTTTTATTTGATTTAATCTTGTTTCACTATTTTCTTTCGGGAAATAATACATTTCACCCTGTATTTTTTACACGTTGTGCAGGTTCTTAGTCCTGGACACAGTCTAGTCGGTTTCCATGCACCCAGTAACAGATCTGAGCGAACTTCAGAGGAGTGATTCGCACGGCCACATTGTAATCCCTGTTTTCCCCATCTATCTCCAGCCACTGGTGTCCAGAGAAAATGCCGATGACCTTCCTTTCCCAGCGCTCTAAACCGTTGTCCCACACTCTTCCGTACACTCCAGAGCCGCTGGCTCCAGGTCGTGCGTCACAGTGCTGGTATATCAGGTCGCTGGACTCTTCTTCCACCGGACAAAACCTGTACACCAGCTCCCCAGATCTGTCGCTGTCAAACCCAGAGAAGTGGATGCGATTCCCTGCCAGGTCATCAGAGGAGGGAGCCACAGAGAGGCGCATGAAGGGACGTCGGTGAGGCCAACGCAGCTCCAGCAGGGCGTAATCGAAGTCCATGCTGACCTCCTGAGGGCCCTGGATCCAGCCCTTTGGCACACGGGTACGTTTCACCCTCACCCAGCGGACCAGAGGCTTCTTGGAAGAGGTGAGGCCGGCATTAGTGCTGTTGATAAATGGAGGAATCAGGAATCCCACCCTGAGCTTTCGCGCCCCCTTGACATAATCCTTTCCATCATGCACACAGTGGGCAGCTGTGAGGACATGCTGCCGAGACACAAGAACGCCGGTGCAGCCGGTGGAGATCCGCACGGCTGTGGAGAAAGGGTAATCCAACAGGAAGTTGTCCCCTTGGATGTTGAAACGTCCGTCCGCTCCGTAGATCTGCCGCCTCACGCGTCTGTGCCTGGGCTTCACTCTCGGCCCTCTCCCGGGTGAAGGGTGAGCGAAGGGATCTCCTTCAAACTCCTCATCACCCTCCACATCTACAGTGGTGAGAGTGCGGGAGCCGTCGGCGTACAGCGTCTCAAAAGCCAGTTTCTCTGTGAGCTGCTCCTTCTGGGCCTCCTGCTCTCCTCTGTGGAAGCAGCTGGAGTTGCAGCGAGTGGTGAAGTCCAGCTGAGTCTGAGCGCTGAAGCGGGAGCGGATGAGAGGCGTCGGTGAGTGAGGGACGAGCGTGGGGACGTGGACGGGCGGAGGGTGAGGAGGGTGAAGAAGGGCCCAGGTGAGAGGGAGGACGAGCTGGAGGAGCACGAGCAGGTGAGTCAGCAAGAGGGAGCGCTCACGTGGCGAAGTCATGGTGACGGGAAACACTGCAACGACACAGAATAATCACGCGAGAAACAGTTTACACGTGTGTCTTAGATTGCATGAACTCCTACATGTTTGTCAAGATAACAACAAAAACTCCCAAACAAGCCGTCTTACAAACTCCAACCCCCATACATCTGGACTACTTACAGTTGATTGTTGATTGCAGATCACAGCAGTGATCTGTGACGTCAGCTTGCAAAATCTAATGTTGCAACGCACGCCGGGGTTTCATCTGGTGTGACGGGGCAACAATGGCCCTCTTGTTCCTGTAATATAGATTAACAGGGAAATAGGATTTCAACCTGATGGAAACAGAACAAGCATTTTATTAAAGTCTGTTTGGAGACGAATTCCAAAGGAAGAAACAAAAAGAAAAAAAGTTAATTGGAGAGGAAGCAAAGTGGCCACAGACATAGCTGAGAAGCCAGAACAAAGTGGAGCGGTCAACACTGAAAGGAAAAGAAAAGCAGTGTGTGATTACTCAGACAACATTTAAAAAGGCAGTGTTCCCTACATATTATGTATTATATGGGGGACTGAATAAGAGGTTGGGAGGTTACAGGAAAACCCCTCCGATCAAATATTTGTCAAAGCTCAGATGTGAGACGTTGTTTTCCATCAAACATTAACGGCTTCAGTGTACGTGGGGCTTTCAGGGCAGATTAACAGCAACAAGGAGATACTTGATCCCCTCTAAAGGCCGTGGACTCGGAGGCACTCATGGCTTGAAGAGAGCAGGTGTGTAAAAAGTGAAAAGAAACAAGTCGAGGCACGGCAGCAAAACAGAGCTCTATTTCTAACAAATGGCAGGGTGGGGCAGTCCACTCACCTATGTGCACTTTCTTTTAACACTAAAGGAGGCAGCGTTACAAAAAACAGAGAGTAGCCTACAAACTTCCCTCCATGTTGAAGTGTCAGATACTTGACAGCGACGTCAGTGACAGAGGATCTTAAGTGGTGAATTGGCTGTTGAAGAATCATTAATCTGTGACGTAAACCTGTACAATTTATTAAAAACAGGGAAAGTGATATGTTCATTACCGCTGCTGTCGTAAACAGAATCAAAGTGATGTTTTTGTGATGTAAAGGCATGAAATAAGAGACATCCCTGTGCAAAAGTGACATCATATAACTAGAGTGTTAATCTTTGCTTGGAGATTATGGTGCATCTTTTAAGTAGTGATACATCTCTTCACAGTTGTTAGGATGTAGTGCACACAAAAGGAGAAAGTACAAAAAGTGCTCTTTCAGCACATGGATCACAGGCAGTCTGAAGCCTATAGAAGACTCCCTGTTCAGCACATACATGTGATCTAATCTTGTCTGACATAACGTAGAGTCAAATGAATTTCAGCTCCCTTTAGCATCTGTCATACAACAAAGAAGCACAACTCTCAGTTTTAACAAGGATTCAGTTTGGAAACGCCTGAAACCTCACAGACGGTTCCTTATTTAATGTATTTAATGTCCAATCTTTGACCATCATTTCTCCCTATCCTTGGGTAATATTTGGCCTAAATAATCACCTTATATCTGGCTGCATAAGGCTGTAAAAACCTCTCTTTTAATTCATGGAAAGACCTGTAAATGCAGCAGTGGTGGTCATTTTAGGCATCCCAGTAGATACAGAGCAGCGGAAAGTGTCAGTTCTCAATCAAATCAATACATTTAATCCATTACCTTCGGATTAGAGATCGATTGCGCGTGTTTACATCCCAGTCGTGTGTTCCTCCCCATCAGCAGAGTCCCTCAGGATCATTCCCCAGGTTTCCCCTCATCCTCTCCGGTGACAGGCAGGTCGTTTTTCCGCTCCTCGTCCAAACGGAAGATCTTGCTCGCTCTTTTACTGCTTCTACAAATAAAGCTCAGTTGCTCTGCATGTCCGGAGAACCGTCAGTGCTTCTACCGAAACCTGCTCAGTCCAGACACAGAGACACAAATAAAAGTCACTGAAAAGAAGTGTTTACTCTCTCTGGAGCGTCCGGCTCCACGGCTCTAGCGCCCCGCCTCCGCCAGCTTGTTTGCAGAGGAGGGGGGGGGATGTTTGGCTACCAGTTTGATATAAACCTTCAATTGCAGCTTATTCTCACAGTTTATATTATATTGTACATTCATCACACGTGATAAATAAACCAACACTATACGATGACAAGTTTGATATCATCTTCGTCGTCCTATGTCTTTTTATGACAATATTACGCGTTTTTATGACTTTTTTATAAAATATTTATGTCATACTACATATATACATATACTATGACTTTTTTCCACATACTGTATTATGACATTTTTTCAGCATGCTATACTATGAATTTGTTTTGAAAAACTATCCTGTGACTGAATAATTATGACTTTTTTTTACCATGCAACACTAGAACTTTTCTTCTACTTACTACAATATGACTTTTTCAACATACTATACTCTGGTTTTTTTGTCATTTTTTGGACATACTATACTATGGTTTTCCATGACATTTAGTCAACATACTATACTATCTCTTTTTATCTATTTTTATGACATTTTCATAACTTTCTATACTATAACTTGCTCATGTCATCTTTTATGGCTGACCAGAAAGACAGGTGTGTTTGGTTTTTTAAATGTTCCTTTATTATTTTAGAAAGGCAAAACAACTAACAAAAATACTTAAGGGCCCATGAAAGACGTCAAAATAACAGAACTAAATCGATGCACTAACAGAAGAGTACTGACTAGCACAAAGCAACCTTCTTAACTGAGACATGGAGAAAGATATAAAGTGGATGATCAGGCCATTCAGACAAACAAGGGGACAGACTAATACATAATAGACTAATATGATAGACTAATACAAAAATAAAACTAGAAAACACTGCCTCTCCTCATGATACAGGAGGAACTTGGTGCAGTCCAACTCCTTGAAGCAGGCCTAATGCAGCTGGAACTCCTTTTGTTTGACAGACGGATGACTCCAACAGCAACCACGATGAACTGGTACCTGGATGAAAACCGAGTGAGCCGCATGGAAATTAAATAACTTTAAGTTATTGAAAACAAATATTGCAAAATTTGAAAACAATTCTTACTAAATGTCCAACGTTCTCAAAAACTGCAAATGAAACTGTGTCATATGAACCCAAAATATACTATGTGTCCTGTTTTTTATCAGTTTGTATGTGTGTATTTTAAGCATCGCGCTGAAAAGAACTCTGAATTGAGTAAATTAAACAATAAAAAAGAGTTACCACCTTATGTTCTGTTGTTCAGTGTGTGATTGTGTGTATATAACAATGGGATTAAATACACTTTTATGACATTCAATACCATGACTGTTCATGACTTATTGATGACACACTACACTATGACTTTTTAGTGACATTTCTTGAGGCATATTACTAAACTGTGTCTTTTTTATGATATTTTTAGATCATAATATACTTTTTTCATTACATTTTTTAATTCTATACTATGAAAAGTTCATGACATTTATTCTGACATTTTTATGACATACTCTACTGTGACATTCATATGGAATATTATACTATGATAATTTTACAACATACTATACAATTACTATTACCTTAAAAAAATTATATTAATATATTTCTATTAATATTTTAAATAAAATAATGCCATACAATACTATGGTTTTTTTTATAACATTTTTATGACGTACTTTAATTTTTCTTTTTATGACATTTTTGTGACATACTATATTTTCACCTTTTTCATGACATGACATACTACGAACCCAAATCTAGATCTTTGACAGTGAAGTAAGTCCATCTTCCACATAAACGTGTTGCTGGACAAACTGCTTTGCATCTGAGCCATGTTATTTCTCAACCAGGTCAGCCACTCGTATAGATGGTCACAGCTGGTGAAGGGTTTCCAAACACATGCACCTTCCTGCGGAACTTCGTGACTCCATTGCTGAGGTCATTATACTTGAACCAAAGGTAATTGCTGTGATCTTCTCCGACCTTAAAGCAGTAAAACAGCTGTTCAAAATCCTTAACAGCCGTTTGTTTTCCACGAAAGCACAGTAAGTCCCCATGAAGCGTGTAATTATGGTCTGGTCCCCTGATAAGTGTGTCAAGCACTGAGACGCCTTCAAACTGGGCACTTAAATCAAATACTACTCAAACTTTTCCTGGTTTCTGCGGATGATACACCACAAATGTGGGCTAGTACCAACACTCTTCACCTTGCCTCAGTGGTAGTGCTGGTTCATGAGGGTGCCACCCAGTGGTTAGCTTCATCAATGTCGACTTCTCTGTCCATTATCTCCAGAGAGATGCCGTCTTTGACAGAGAGAGCAAGTTCGTCATCACCTGAGCCGCTTTGAAAAACCTTGCCTCCAAGGATGTCTGTGTTAATGACAGGAGCTACCTCCTCAGGACTGACAAGAGGGGTCAAATGATGTTGCTGTATAGGAGCACTGAACTTCTTATAGATTGATCCAATACAGGGTCCTGAAGACGTTCACACTGGATGGCTTGGGTGTAATGCAGAGATGTGCACTATTACATTCTTTGCACCTCACAGCTGCCGTACAGTCCTTAGCCATGTGCTTTGTAGATGCACAACACCAGAAGCAGATGAACATTTCCCTAGGATGAACTTTTCTTTCATCTAGATGCTTGCTTGGTGCAATTCACTGTTGTCAGATTACTTACAGATTTCTCTGGCTTTGAATGGCTCATGTTACTGGATATGGAAAATGCAAAACTCTGATCATTCCTGGCCATTGCTTGACTGCATATGAATCTTACAAAGAAATGTGTGAATGGTGGAAAGGAATCAAGATGGTCTTATGGCCATAAGGAAGCTTTTCTACTTGCAGTGTCAAGATATGCATGATAAGGTAGGTGCCCACATGACTTTACTTCCAGAAGTATGTCTACTCATTCTCTGAGCAGCTGGTTACCCTTGTTGGACATTCTGGGAAAATTCTCTAGCTTTTGTAGCGGGCATGTTCAATCATCTCAGGACAGACGAAACTGTCCTCCAATCGCTGCCAAATCAGGTTTACACCTGTTGTTGGATTGGGGACATTAACCGACCTGATCCTAGCTTGTGAAAATGACTTTGGGCCAAGCTTAGATAGTAGATCAAGATCCGCCATCTCTCCACTGACCAGGTACTTTGCAGAGTCTGTCATTTGTGGTGCTTCAAATGCGTGGTCTCTAAGGCTGGATGTGTGAGACATTGGAGGAGGGGGATAAAGTGAATAGTCCGTGCCTCGCATGTGTCCTCTACAGTCTCGTCTCTAATACCCAACTATAGCAGAATACTCACTGCCTTTGCTGCTGTGGCACTCCTCTCTTTTTCTAGATCATACAGACTGGCTTCCACCTCTGCTTTAGGCTGTGCTGTTTCAGCCACGATCCATTGATGCTCTGCCTCAACAGAGCTGCCTCTGCTTTAACGCTTGTTGTGGTTGCTGCCACGCTGGCTGAAGACATGTTTGATCTTCTCAATGGCTTGGAGCGACATGTGACCTGGTCTCAAAAGTTTTCTGCATCTGGTGTACTTAGCAAGGCTAGACAGATAGCGAACAAAAACTCCATCAAAACCATATTCTGGAAAAAGGAGTGGCTTTATGATCGTTTCTGTTAAACTGAAAAAATACAATACAAAGCATGTAATATTCTGCACCAGTGCATATTTGCATATAAAATGACAATATATGCAATATATGCATATAGTTCCATGTACAAAATAATCGTTAACACCTTCTCTTCACAGGTAATATGGCAGTAAAGCACTTTTAACCTACATAAATATCCAGCACGGTAAGTAGCATATAAATCGTAGTCATTAGCTTAGCATAGACCGCCACAGGAATACTTTTAATTAGCTTGTAAGCTGAAAAGTGGAGCGAAAAACCAGCATGTGTAGCCTCCATTCATCTTACAACTAAAGTAGCATTTTTATTCTCAGAACAATTTTCCTCATTCCTACAATATTTCATATCTTTACTCATGGATATATCAACTCCAAGGGTCAAATGAAATGAGAGAACTGCTTTGCCTGAACACTGTAGGCTGCTCTTTGTTCAACTGGAACCAAAATGGAGGATTAAGAATTAAACTAAAATGTCCACTAGCGATCAGTAATGCAAACTAAATAGGGATCTCAGACTAATCTCTCAGAACAAACGCATTGTAACAGAAGCAGAGCGCCTACCCTCTGGTTCCCCCCAGGGTTAACACTGTTGGCTGTACCAGCACTGTTGCTGTTGTTTACACTGGTTATGCTGTTAGCACCGTTAGCTTCTAGCCAACAGTGCAGCCATCACCATGTTGAGAGCCGTGCCGTGTAGAGGCAATCCCTCAATCATAGACATGCTCTGACTTTGAATTTAGAGCCTTAAACTGTATGAGTTTAATGCCTAAAACTCTTAATTTGAAGGCTGTTTAAATAAAAATAAATTATAAATAAATGAAATTCACTGAGTTGTAATACATTGGAGAACTTTCACCTGAATTTTCAGTTAACTTTCAAATTCAAGGCTGCAAAAATGGAAGATTTTATAGAAAAGTAAGATGATGCATCTTTTAAGGCCTTTCTCATATTGTTCAACATTGTCAGTTTAGCTCTTTTATGGTAGAAAGATTTTATTTATATCCTAAAATGCAGTTAATCAACATGACTGCTGATTGTATTTCCTTTTCTGACTCAGATAATAAGTGTATGTTGTGCATCATATCAGGCATTTGGCACTTTCATTGTAGCCTCCAGCTACACCCAAGCAAGAGAAGTCTTGTTTCTGGCATCACCGTATAGTCTTCTTATCATCTGTGCCAAAAGCAATGATACATAGAAGCGAAGACCAACTCCTGAACGCTCAGAAATCGCAGCAGAGGACTGTTGGGGCATGTTGGCAGCAGCGTTCACCTCATCCTCTGCCTCCTGAACTTGATCTCCAAGAGGCCTTTTATGTCTCATTCAGAATCTCTGGGAACATGTGGAATTTGGGAAGCCGTGCACCAACACTCCCATGGGGTTTGTTCTAAGCTTCAGGGGTGCCGAAACAGAGCTCCCAGTCACAGCGACAGTGCTTTCAGGAATGCTGAGGAATGTCCCAACAAGGACACAGGTCAGGACACAATGCGAGCTCTGTTGCGCTCGGAGCAAATGTCACCGCAGAGGAAACACCTAGGCTACCGAAACTGCTCCT